GACCCATTCAACAACAAACACAGGATATGCTCAGTCTACAACATGAGGAGGGTGAGTCTACTGAACAACAAAGAGTTGAAAGACCCATTCCCCAGCAAAGACAGGATATGCCCAGTCTGCAACATGAGGAGGGTGTGTCCACTGAACAACAAAGAGTTGAAAGACCCATTCCCCAACAAAGACAGGATATGCCCAGTCTACAACATGAGATGGTTGTGTCCACTGAGCAACAAAGAGTTGAAAGACCCATTCCCCAGCAAAGAGTAACTGTACTTGCTCGACAAAAATTATTGGATGTGCATAACGATCAACTTATGGAAGATATGCCCAATGAACAACATCAGGCTGTTATGCCTACTCAGCAAGAGAAAGTGAATAATGTTTCAGTTTCAACAGAGTTGTCCTCGTCTGAACTTCTACCAAGTGTCGGTCCATTCAATCATGAAATTAAAAAACAGGATGAGGTAACATCTACCATTAAAACAATACAACAAAATTATGAACCTTCAGCTAAAGAGCCCTTATGTGATGATGTGGAATATGAAGTGAAACATGAGGTAAGAAACAAAGTTTGATGTTATATTCAGATCCATATAAAATGGACTCAGAAGATAAGTGTTAAGACTTTATTGTATGGAGACCAGTGTGAAGTGAGTTGTGAAATAGTCATTAAAACATGGTATTTAGACCCATGTGTAATGAAATATCAGGTAAGTGTTAAAACTATTTTATCGAGACTAATGTGAAGTATGAGATAATTCTTAAAACTTTGTATTAGACCATATGAAGTAAAACCTGAGGTAATTTCATCTTATTTAAACCCATATAAAGTGAAGTATGAGATAATTCTTAAAACTTTGTATTAGACCATATGAAGTAAAACCTGAGGTAATTTCATCTTATTTAAACCCATATAAAGTGAAATATGAGATAATTCTTAAAACTTTGTATTAGACCATATGAAGTAAAACCTGAGGTAATTTCATCTTATTTAAACCCATATAATGTGAA